GGTTGTAGAGTGACGCAAGGAGCTCCAAGCGTGTCTCATTTATTTTTGGCGAATGATAGCATTTTGTTTTTTGATGCTTCCCTTCATGAAGTAGAGACCATTAAACAAATTTTGCATTGCTATGAGGTTGCTTCGGGGCAAGCTGTCAACTTTCAGAAATCTAGGATTTTTTTTTTCAGCATGAATGTCGAGCAAAGGTTGCGGCAGGATATTTGTAACTCTTTGATGGGTGTTCTCATCTATTAATCACAGCAAATATCTTGGTCTTCGGTCGCTCATTGGAAGGAAAAAGAAGGCAATTTTCTCTTATCTTCGGGATCATATGTGGAAGGTGGTACAGGGATGGAAGAGTAGGTTGTTGTCCAAAGTAAGGAGGTGCTTCTTAAAGCTGTGGCTCAAGCCATTCCTTCATATAGCATGGGAGTGTTCCTTCTCCATCGTTCTTTATGTGATGAGTTCCATAAATTGCCAAATGCTTTCTGGTGGGGGGTGAGGCTCAAATGATAACAAAGGTGTTCATTGGTTTAAGTGGGAGCCAATGTGCGTCTCTAAAATGCATGGAGGCATGGGCGTTCATCGTTTGTATCTTTTTAATATTGCGCTTCTTGGCAAACAAGCTTGGAGATTGATCTCCAATCCTAATTCTCTTCTTGCTTAGATTTACAAATTTAAATATTTTCCATCGAGGGATTATATGGGTGCATCCTTAGGATCGAATCCCAGTTTTCTATGGAGGAGTGTGTTGGAGGCCAAGGAACTGATGTTAAAAGGGATACGATGGCGTATTGATAGTGGAAATCAGATTAAGGTTTGGAAAGACCCATGGTTAATTTCTGATGCTTCCTTTAAAATTAATTCTGTTCATGTTGAAGGTTTTGACCAATGTCTAGTTTCAGACTTATTTGATGATAGTGGTTTGCGATGGGAAGAGGATATTGTGTGGGGCTGTTTTCTCCAGTAGAAGCAGATATTATTCTAAGCATGCCAATTAGTCTGAGACACAGGGAAGATTGGGTGATATGGCACTGGTCGAAGAAAGAGCAGTATGAAGTTAAAACTGGATACCATCTTCTTGCAAATAACAGCTTAGGCATGTTTCAAGTTGGTGACCCGGCGTTGTGGAAGCTAATTTAGAAATTAGAAGCCCCGCCAAAAGTCAAGTGCTTCCTATGGCAAGCATGCAGGGATATACTGCCAACAAAAATGCAGACTGATTCAACAAGGTATTCATTTGGATCGAACTAATCCATTGACATAAATAGTTCATGGGAGAAAATGTTTGTGCAGATTGTGACGTTTGTGGGTTGCCAGAATCTTTGATTCATGCTTTGGCGTTGTGTTCTTCTGCATCTGCATGTCTGTCTTTTTATGGGTTGCACCAGTTGAATATGCCTTTTATTGATTTTAGTGACTAGTTTTTGGGTGTATCGAAGGTTGTATCACTTGAAAAACTAGCTAAAGTGAGTATTTTGCTTTGGTACAAATGGTATTTTAGAAATAAACATATTTGGCGGCACGTGCAGGTTGATGCTTTGGTCATTTGTAATTTGGCAGCAAACTTTTGATGGATTGGAGAGCTGCAGCACGGTTGAGGGAGGCTCATGGTAACACAATTCGTACTTCTGAGTTGTGGCAGGCCCCAATCCATGGAGTGGTTAAGGGTAATCTATATGCTGCAGTTAATCAAGATGGTAATGGGGCGGGGTTTGCAGCAGTGTTTAGAAATAATTTTAGTCAATGTAGTGACTGCAGTTTCTGGTTTTATCCCAGGAATCCGGTCCCCACGTTTTGCTGAAGTTTTGGGTCTGAGGGAGGTATCATCTTGGTTGAAACATCAGCAGCTTGGTCCAGTTATGTTGGAGGTTGATGCGCAGGAAATAGTTATTGCTATTCAAGATTCTACTTCTGATATGTTTGAATTTGGGGCCTTGGTTGCCAACTGTAAGGAGCTTTTCTCACAAGCAAATGTTATTGGAATTGCTTGGGTTTGTCGACATGCTAACAAGACTGCTCATTGCTTGGTTAAGGTGGCTTGTTTAGAAGCTTGTTTTAAAGTTTGGAATGTTCTTCCAACTCATGTTCAATCTTTTGTTATGCTGGATGCTTTGATTAATTAATGAATTTTCATTTTCTTCTCAAAAAAAAAAAAAAAAAAAAAAAAAAAAAAAAAAAAACAAGACTGCTCCATGCTTGGTTTAAGGTGGCTTGTTTAGAAGCTTTGTCTTTTAAAGTTTGGAGATGTTTCTTCCAACCTGCGATGTCTTCAAATCTTTTGGTTAGTGGCCTGGACTGCTTTGCATTAACTTAATGGAATTTTCATTTTCTTCTGCAAAAAAAAAAAAAAAAAAAAAAAAAAGAAAAAAAAAAAAAAAGTGATTTATATGGCAAAGGTTACCACCTGGTTTATAGCTCCACCATTTTGATACATATAATTTTATATTCCCTATTTGAAAAGCCTTTTGGTCATGTCTGAATTCATACTACGACCGTACTTTGTGAAGGCCTCAAGAACTATACACACTTTTTACAGTTAATTAGGGAATTTAAGCTATTGAAGGACTTTGCAATATGTCTAATTTATTATTTTTGTAATTTATTATTATAAATTTGTATTAAGTTATTAACCGTTGTCTTATTTCTAGACATTTTTTAATTGGCCTTAAGTATTATAAAATTCACTCGTGAATTTTCATTATTTTCTACGGGGTACTTGTTATAGACTCTCTTGCGAATTCATCCTATATACTCTTAAATTTTTTTTTGTTTACCAACCATTTCATGATTTTCTTGCTATGCGACGTTCAAAAACTTTTATTTTTTTTTGGGCAAACTAAAAAAAAAAAAAAAAAAAAAAAAAAAAAAAAAAAAAAGTGATTAGAGGTTACACTGTTTATAGGCTCCACCATTTTATACATATAATTTTCATATCCCTATTTGAAAGCCTTTTGTCATCTTGATCCATTATAACCGTACTTGAAAGCCTCAAAACTATACAACTTTTACATGTTAATTAGGGATTTAAGCTATTGAAGGCTTGGAATATGTCTAAATATATTTTTGTAATTTATATTATAAATTTGTATTAAGTTATTAAGTTGTCTATTTTAAATTTTTTAATTGCCTTAATATATAAATTCACTCGTGAATTTTATTATTTTCTACGGGTACTTTAAACTTTGCAATTCATCCTATATACCTTAAATTTTTTTTTTTTTACAACCATCATGATTTTCTTCATGCACGTCAACTTTATTTTTTTTGCAACTATCACGATTTTTTTAAAAGGGTAATAGTTTTTGACAAAGAAGAGAGAGAAATATAGTAGTTAGGAAGAGAGATGGTGGGCAACTAATGCAAAGCACTCCAAATAGCTCGATAAAACGGTTACATTATTTATGATACCTTATATAAAAATCAAGGGGTCATACTCTCTAACTTTCCAATGTGGCAAAACACATTATAGTTTCAAAAAATAAAATTGATGTGCATGATAAATTGAAGGTAAAGTTCAGAATGCAATACTATTGAAATAAGAAGTAATATTTTTAAAATCGACCGGATATGGAATCGGCTTAATAAGCTGCAGTTGGAACGGATCAACCTTTTTCAACTGGATTTTTATTTTTTAATTTGTTATAATTATTTATAAAAAAAATTGATAAAATATACTCATAAATAATTTTATAGTGAAGGGTAATAATTTAATTATAAATGTATAATTATTTTTCAAACAATTCATCATCTAATAATGTTTAAATCATTCCTAAATCACATAAAATATAAAAATATTTGTGTGGTAATTTTTTATTATTTTATTAAATAAAAGATAATTAATGTTAGTTATAGAATAAGAAATTTCAGACCTTATAATGTTATGAAATTTTTCACAAAAGCAGGTAACTGGATTTCAAAATTTGACCTCTTAAAATAATTTTTTATATCTTAACCACTCGATCTATTTAGTTTATAATGAAGAATTTATAGTTATTTTTTAGAATTATTTAATTTGCTGTAACAAATCAAGCTAAATCGAACCAGACTATAAACTGATTCGCCAATTAAGTGGTTCGACAGGCCAATTCGGTCCGATTTTCTAAGCACACTTGCTGGGAGAACAAAAGCTATTATGCTCTACAATCAAAAAGGATTACACCTCTTAATTCTGAAAAAAAAAAGAAAAAAAAATTAAAAGATGAGTTTATTGTACTCATCCTTTTTGATTGTGTTGGACTTTGATTAATTTAAACTTGTCTATGCCCTAACTATACATGCCATGGTGTTGGTTAGGGTCATATGGTTTGGATTGCGATTATACAATCTTCTTGTCCGTACACACACATTTAATAAAAAAAAAATTTACAACTGAAATTTTTTAGAAACTAAGAAATTTGGATAATATAAAAATAAGATAAAAAGCTCTACTCTTAGCAAAACTTCTGTTTTCTCTTCACTCAAACTCTTTTTCTAACTCTACAATCCATGCTAACTAGATAAATAAACACAAACGTTGTCATAGGTTTTAATTGTTGATAAAGAGAGAAATGGTCTTATCGTTAGTTGCTGCTATACTATGGATATGGATACACGCACGTTCGATAACCCAAAACCTCACCTCACTTGTGTGAATGAAACTGTTAAGTGCAATCTGTTTCTGTAATCATGAACTAAAATCATATGCATCTCAAGTTTCCATAATTGAGTTTGGAAGAAGAGGTGGAGCAAAATGCAATGTGAGCTGAGTTCATCCACAAAGACATCTAGTTAAACAGTACAAATTTGAAACCACAGAACTTGATCCATTGATAGCAGTGCTCAGTGGCTCATTAGCCATAACTAACATTAAGAATATCAACAAGGCAATCATTCAGAGAGTGTAATTGCCAATCGTCCAGTCCCCATCCCCTTTTGTCAATTAAATGAAAACAAAGAATTCAAAATATGATGACCAAGGGGTCAAATTCAAGTTCCCACAGCAAAATAAATCAACCAGAACAAAGAAGTGCCCAAAGCAATAATTGCATAAAATATATAAACCCAAAATGACAAAAAGAGTATTCAAACTGCACCATGGCTAGCAATATATAAACATAAGCAGCTATACTGGACTCCAATTGGTTCAATTCATAAGCTATGAACTGGTCAAAAGTAAAAAAGACTAGTACTTACTACCAGTACTTACTAACACAATATCGTAAATTCCTAAGCAAAAGTATTGAACCTAATTACGAGTCCAAACTCTCATCTCTCAGTCTTGTACTTCTACTACATCATACCCTGGATTTGATACTGGAACCAAACTGTTCACATAACTGGAGAATTCACAGGTATAATCAGGACCACAAAATGGCATGTGCTTGATGCTTAGATTATAGAGATCAAAGAAAGACAGAGTCACACCATGTGCTTCCACGCGTTTCACCAGCAATTCAGAATTATTGTAAACTCCAATTGGGGTACTAACACCAGAGGAACTAAATTCCATTCCATGAATTCTACTCCAACACTTCTTATTAACTGAAACACCATGACCATCAGCACCGTAATCTTCTCCATCATTGAATACCCACAAATCAAAGCGATTAATCGGTCTTGCATATCCAGGATAAACAGGCAAAGCAGAATACATTGCCAGAGCCAGTGATTCCTTGAATTCTAAAATTTTAGCACAAATTCCACTTAAACCATAATCAGGGATTTCAATTCTTCTAAATTCTTCACTTACCATATCAAAGGACACTATAAACTTTTCATTAGCCAATTTCCCAATCCCATTAGCTAACCAATTCAAAGACCCATTTATACTCACAGCTTGCTGACCTTCATGAATCACACAATAACCAAAATTTTCCTCAACCACGTTTCCACCCATCAATTTCCACGATCCAGTACGCCAGGAGTATACTTCAGCTATCACAGCAGGCGAATCATCGTCTTTACAATGAAAATTAACAATCCTCACCAGTTTATAATCATTATCTCGGCGATTATACCCAAACCCAGTTGCCACCATCCATATAGGTTTATGGGCATCATTGATTCTTGGTCTAGGGAGAAACTTATATTGCTTAGTCGTAATATTCCATAAAACAAAACCAAAAGCATAGCAAGGGGAGATATCAAGACAAATAAGACCATTGCAAGAGCCAACAATCTTAGGAAACCGATATAAACAACCCAGAAATGGAATTCTTATTTCATATGAGGTGTTACCATCAATCAAACACAAGGAAAACTTAGACCCAGTGGGATTGTGAAACTGGCGAACCAAAAGAAACGGCCGGAGAGAAGAAGTACGCAAATGAGTCGAAATAAACTCATGAGAGTTAAATAGAAAATACCAGCCTTTGGACACTGATTCAAATCGTTTAATGGATTTGATAGGCAATCTGGAGAGGATGTCTTTGACGATATCATCACGAAGAGAATGAGAATCTGCTGTAGAATTGTTAGCCATTGATCGTCGCTTACACTTCATAGAGACAATCACCGCGGTTTCTGTTGGTATATATAAGAAAGACTATACTTGTTTTTCTTTTTTTTATCTTTTTATTTTTTTAAGGGAAAGAGAGGTTTTTGCTAGGGTTCAGAAAAAGAAAATGTATTGAAATATTTTTTAACAGATGAAACAACCATCTCCTGCCTATATTTTTTCTTGGGCCTCTCAGCCCATAAAAGAAAATGCCGATCAGTCTCGGACATGGAATTAGCCCATTTTATAGTTCTCTTTTTTAGTATAAAAGCTTTTAGTGTGTACTTTTCTTTTTTGGCGATTAATTGCTAAATACACAAGTTATAATATTTTTTTAAAAAAAAATTAATTTAATAATCTTCCTAGTTATTTTCGACTAATTATTATGAACCTCTTTATGATATTTACGTTTAAAATTCTCTTTATCCTAGAGAAATAGATTTATTATAACTTTCACACAAATTAAGAAAATATATTTAATATAAAACTATAATATTTGCTTATTTTCTTTCAAAATATACCCTTATATTAATAATTATCATTATTAAATTGTTTTTGAAAATACTTGATATTGGCAGAGATATACCCTGATTTTATTAAAGGAAATGTTTATACCTTAATGTTTTCTTATAAAATCTATTTATATGTTCGTTGTTATCCAAAATATACGATATAATTTCACTAAGAATGGTCGATATTCGTAAGTATACGAGGTTATTGCAGTATCGGGTGAGTGTACCAAAGTCGTCTCTCAAGGAAACAATAGTTGCAATTCGTATAGTTTAATTGACAACTGAGCTGAAATTGATAACATATTGTTATTGTTTGATATTGGTAGACTCAAAACCTTCTTAATTCAGAATTAAAGGGTAAACAAGAGCAAAAATCAAATCACTGCTTGGTGTTTATTAAGAGTAAAAATATTCTAAGGTTATCTGTATTTTACTCCTAGGTTTTCATTATTAGTTAAAGTAAATGTCAATACACAAATGGTCATTACTATATAATCGATTTAATTTCCTAATTGAAAATTGTTCATTACAAATACATTATTCCAATCTTTTAAAATTGAATCAATGCTTATTTTATTAGATCGTTTAAATAATAAGTACAACAACCTAACCTTCATTAATTAAACCACTTATTGATCTTTGGCCTTATCAATTCCTCAATTAATAGTACGACACAAAGTTGGATACGGTCGTTTTATATCATTGAATCAAAGAATTCAATTAAAAGAGAAAGCACAAATACTTAACTAATCAATCAAGCTAAGAGATTTAAGAGTTAATTTTAATATAACTTAGGAATTCAGTTATATTTTACTCTTTGATATGATTTTATAGATCAGTCGGTTGAGTTTAAAGTTTTATCTTAACAATTTTGGTCCACTCAATTTAAACGAAATTGAAGAAATGGAGAACACTAATACTGAGCTTGAGCGTATTAGAACATAGTTGTGGCCAAGTGCAGCAATAAGTATAGTGAGAAATGGATTTTTTTTTTTTTTTTTTTTTTAAATCACTGCTTGGATTTGTATTATTTAAGAGTTCAAAAATATTCTAAGGTCCTATCTGTATTTATTAGCTCCTAGGTTTTTCATTATTTAGTTTAAAGTAAAATTGTTCAAGACACAAACTGGTCATTACTATATAATCGATTTAATTCCTAGTTGAAAATTGTCATTACCAATGACATTATTCCAATCTTTTAAAATTGGAAATTCCAATGCATTTTTATTAGCAGTCGTTTAAATTAATAAGTAACAACAACCTAACCTTCATTAATTAAACCCCCAACTATTGATCTTCTGGGCCTTATCTCAATTCCCTCAATTAATAGTTACGACCACATAAGTTGGGATACGGGTCGTTTATATCATTGAGCAAAGGAATTCAATTAAAGACGATAAGCCACAAATTACTTACTAAATCAAATACAGCTAATAGAGATGAAAGAGTATATTTTTTTTAATTATACACAAGTTAAGGAATTCAGTTATATTTGAACTTCTTGATACTGATTTTTATAGATCAGTCGGTTTGAGTTTAAAGTTTTTATCTTAAACAATTTTGCTTCCACTCAATTTAACGAAATTGAATGAAATGGAGAACACTAGATACTGAGTGACGGTATTAGAACAGAGTTGGTGGGCCCAAAGTGCAATGCAATTAAAGTTATAGTGAGAAATGGATTTGTTTTTTTTTTTTTTTTTTTTTGAAAAAAAAAGGACCATATTAGTTTCCTATATTTTGTTTCTTCCCTCCTTTTTTTCAGTCTCCATCACAGAAGCTATTATGAGAAATCTTAAAATTGTTTTTATGATCATTATTTTTTTTTTTTTTTTTTTTTGAAAAAGACCATATAGTTTATATTTTGTTTTCCCCTTTTTCAGTTCCATCACAAATTATGGAAATTATTAAATTGTTTTATGAACATAGTCTGTCGTATGTGTTATCTCCCTTTCCATTTTATCTACAACTAAATGACAAAGGGATGGACAAAATAATTTGAAAATAATTAATTTTTAAAGAATCAATTAGTTGCTATCGTCAATTTAATATATTTTTCATTTATTAACTTTATTTTGGTTGTGGTTTAAGTCTTCCGAAACCATTTTTGAGTATCAATTATCATTAGCCGCCCAAAAAAGAAAGAAATTCAATTCAAAGCGATCAGGAATATTGAAAAGAAAATAAAAGTGTTAAAAAGGATTAAAATTACTATTTAATCCTTTATATTAATTAAATATTCTATTTAAAAAACTGAATTATTGGTTCTTTATTTAATAAAATATCCTTCCAACTTGATTTTTGTTTTGCACCATTTAGTCCATGCTTGAATCGATGGTATTGAAACATTAATGATTCCAATTGGAATAATGCTACTTCTAGTGCATTAACTTGTATTTTTTTTTTTTTTTATTTTGGTGTCTGAATCAAAAATAGTGACAATTAAGTGCTTAAACTCGCATTTTTTTCATTTTTGTGTTCCCTGATTAAGTAAACAATCAGATTGTCTAATGGCACGAAATAGGTGCCTATGTGTCTGCTTATATGGCTAACTTTTAATTCATATCAATTGTCTAATATGATTAAAATATCAATTTATTCTCATTAACCTCAACTTAAACATTTATTTTGTGAAATTCCTAAATCAATAATAAACGTTAATCCAGTTGGTCTAAAGTTGAAGAAGCAAATAAAAGTTGTCTGGCGAGGGAAGGAGCAACTTATGAAACATAACCCCAATCAATAATTGACCCCTTTGTACATAATATAGCAAGAAATCAAAACTTTAATTTGATCAAATATACATTCGATCTAACCAGAAAGAGGAAAATTCACATTCTTTATTATTTAGAACTACAATGACAAAACAAACGCAATATCGAATCAAATTTTGCAGAAAATAGAGTATAGTGTGTGTATGTGAATTTTATCAAGCACAAGCGTAGGGATCATCGACCATAACAACTTCCTCGTCTTCACTTCTAAATAATAGATACCCAATCCACAACCCTGCAATAATAGCCAAAAACACGTCGCCATTAAAGGACATTATCGCCAACATCAGTAGATACTCGATTGCCAAATTGACTCCGAATAAAATAACGAAAGCGAATCTCATGGGTTTAAACGACCTTTAGATCACAAAAGAGGAGCTTCAATTAGTGATGGCGAAGAGCGAGCGGTTCTTGAGGCGGCAAGGGGTTTGAGTCAGAGGCGTCGAACCTCCATTTATTGGTAGAAGGCGGAGGAGAGGAAAAAGACCAACAAGAAGATGAAGTAACTGGGTCATAAATTAGTTAGGGATTTAAGTATTTAAACTAAGGTTAATGAGGGTAAATCGGTAACTTAATCGTATTTCTCACGTTGGACAACTAATATAGATTAAAAGTCAGCCGCATAAGCAGATACATAGGCATATATAGGCTCCATTTCGTCCCATCAGACAATCCGGCTATCCACTTCATCAAGAAACACCAAAATGAAAAAAAAAATGCAAATTTAGACACTGATGTCATTATTTTCACACTAAAATAGAAAAAAAATAGATAAATTCAGACACCAAAAATAATATTATTCCAATTATAATTTTTAATTATTGAATTTACAATTAAATTTTGTCTCAATAATGTAGTTTACTTTTAGTGATTTTATAGTTTGCTTTTAAACTAGATGATTTGACAAATACAAACTAAAGAGCCATTGAATTAAATTTTGAAAGTGAAGTTTTAAGTAATATATGAGGATTAAATAGTAATTTCACAATTTATTAAATTAAAGAGCATGAGGTGTAAATCTCCACACCGAGAAAAGTCAGATACTGCTGCTTCTTTAGCGGTTAAGCCAATTGAAAAGAAAAGAAAAGAAAAAAAGCAGAGGGGAGAGAGATATGGAGAGTAGAGAGGCAGAGGCATCAAGGTCTAAAGAGGAGGAGACGCTTAGCCCGGCAGCTCTGTTGTTTCATGCGCCGCATTTTAACTGTCATATAATAGCAGTTATGGGTTGCAAGATTCCCATCGATCCAACCATCGTCAAGCTTGGATTAGAGCATACTTTGATTAAGCACCCTCGCTTCTCAAGCAAACTGGTATTCTTTTTTCTTTTCTTTATATCTTTCTTCCGTCTTCGGTCTTCTTTTTGCTCTTTTGTTCTTTGATTCAGTTCGATCTCCCATATAACACGATTTAACTTTTATTAGCTTAATCCATAACCATTCTTCAACAGTATTAAGCAGGGAAGAGCTAGAAATTGGAATTTGAGGGGAAAATATATAATAAATAACTTGAACTTGAATAATAATTTTTTAAGACGTAAGCATACTTCGGGTTGAACCGATCAAACTGACTGTATCGAACCATTTTGGTTTGGTCGAGTTTCTTACAAAAAGTTCGGTTTTCAGTTTTAACGGATACACCAAAGTTATATTTTTGGTTGGGTTTTATGAAGCTTAGAAAAACTATTGGTCTAAACCGGAGTCAACCAGAAAGATACATGGAAAACTTACTAAATCGAACCGATTTGATTCGACAGTTTCAATCAGTTTCATTCTAAAAGTTCGATTTGGTTCTGTTAACTTTAACTGTTGCTTTGAACTGAACCCTTATTCACGCACCCTATAATTTTAATTATTATTATTATTATTATTATCAATTTTTATTTTTGAGGGGTGGCCCCACTAGACAAAGAATTTGGTTACAGTCTAGTTAGAATAATCAAAACCTTGACTTTAAACTGAAAATTGAAATGAAAATTCCTCATTTTAGTTTATTTTTATCATGAGAAAATCATTTAAGATTCCTTTTGGATAAATGATCACTTGGAATTATCTGAATTTATATTTGAATTTTAAATATAAAATTATATTCATTAAGCTTTTTAAAATGATCTCACTAAATATAATTAGATTTAATTAATTCAATTAATATTTTTATAGTCAAAATATTACATTTGGTATATCCGAATATAGTCTATACTATATATAAATATAAAAATGGGAATAAAGGGGAATAATGAGATTTTTTATATTGCCTTTTTAAGATATTCTAAAATAACCCTCTAATTAAAAAACCTTAACATATATAAGGATTTTTTATATTGCCTTTTTAAGTATTCTAAAAATAAATCCCTCTAATTAAAAAACCTTAACATATAGTATATATAATATAAAATATATATATATATATATTAATTTGATTTTTGATATTTTTTTTTAATTTTTTTTAATAGATAAATACATATAGATAATCTATAACTATTTGAAAATTTTAAAATTTACTATTATAATCTTATTATTTTTAATTAATGTTTTATTTTCATTATATTATTTATATAAATAAAATAATTAATTTAATATTTTTTAAATAATTTATTATTATTACTTTTATTATTTATTTACTATTATTGTTAATTTAATCTTTCAACATTATATGAATACTATAAAATAAAAACATATATTTTTATTTACTATTATTGTAATTTATCTTCAACATTATATGAAACTATAAAATAAAACATATATGATGATTTTTATAAATTAATTTGGTATTTAAATCAAAAATAAAAGCATCTATTTTATAATAAAAACTATATGAACCAGTATATTGAAAATAATATAGATGACATATTTCATATTTAAATTGCTATTTTATAAGGAAAAACAAATATATCAATTATTTTTTCAATGAGATATTACAGTATAAAATATATAATTAAAAAAAATTTAATGTATATATAAAAATCATTATATTCATTACAATCTAAATAAAAATTTATACTTTTATCCAAAAAAGAATTTATGCTTTAATTATATAAATAAAAAATTAAATGAATATAAAAATAACGTATAATGAATATAATAAATGTACTTATAATTAAATACGCTTATAATGTAATGTTTTGATTATAAAAAAACATTTTTTCAACTTTTTTTCTATCATATCACATAAAACAACTTGTTTGGTGCGTGTTGGTTCCACCGATGCATTGATAAAGATATACGCTCAGTGTTCATTAACTAATATTCACCAACTTTAAATAAAATGTTACCATTAGTTTAGATTTATTAGACCTCCCTATCGCCAAGATTATAATCACAAATATTTATTACACGGTTTAAAAAAATTAATTCAATTATTATTATTTTTCCATATATACCACTGAAGACTCTAAATATTATATATTAATAATCTCTTAAGATTTTCAAAATAGAATAGATAGTTAGAATTTCTATCTAGAATGTTAAGATTTCAAAATTAATTATTTTCAGACCTTTTCTTCATTGTCCAGTAAATTCAACTAATATTTATTATTTATACGAATTATTCTATAAGCGGCGGCGGATCCACCAGATAAACAGAGAGATGAATTGACTCTTCTTTTTATTTTTTAATTTTTCTAATAAATATATGTAATTTGTTTAAAGTAATCCATAAAGTTTAATTTATTTATATATTTAACCCCTCTTTTTTCAAAAAATTATATATTGATACGGATAAAAATATGTCTAGATCCGCTAATGTCTATAAGGGTATTGTGGGAATGTTAAAAAAAAGATTTCTAAAAATGTAAATGGGACTATTATTTTTGGAACACCCAAAAAGAAAAGTGATAATATAATTTTAAGACTGAGAGTAATTTATTAATTTAATTTCAGTGCTTGGAGGTAGAGATGGTAACAGGTCGGGTACCTGCTTAAATTGCACTATCTGAATCCAAACCCAATTATAAATTAGGCACCAAATTTGTCTCGAGCCCGTTTAAAATTTTATCCTTGATACCCGAATTCATCCTAACTCTGATTATAATTATCCGTTTAAATACCCGAATCTATTTAAATCCTGTTTAGCATTAAAAATATTGTTTATTTTCATTTTTCAAAAATAAAAAGTAAGTAAAAATTATGAACTTATTATTTTGACTTAATAAAAAATATAATATAAATGTTAAATATAATTATAGCATTAATTATATATAAAAGTTAAATTATAATATATAGCATAATTATATAAAAAGGAGTATTAACATATTTAATTTTTCTTTTAAAAAAATAATTATTTAAATGGATTTTTAATATTTATAAACAGTTATGTATTAGGGGTATTTGAAGTCCTTAAATCCAAATTCAATACGGGTAGTAAAAAATTACCCACAATCCGTCACAAAACCGTTTATAATTATAGCATTAATTATAATAAAAAAGGAGTATACATATAATTTTTCTTTTAAAAAAATAATTATTTTAAATGATTTTTAAATATTTATTAAACATGTAATGTATAGGGGTATTTGAGTCCTTAAATCCAAATTCAATACGGGTAGTAAAAAATTACCCAAATCCGTCACAAAACCGTTTATTCACTATCCAAAATTGCTAAAATCGGATCGGTACTCGTTTGGATCGAGTAAAATTATCATCCTTGCTTAAAGGCTTCTAGGGAATATTGCTAAGGGTAAGAAACCAACATTGGACTTTATAATGCCGTTGAAACCAATCATCATAATGCTTACTTGCTAAGGCTTAATTACTATTTCAAAAATACATTATTTAATCTATTAAATTTGAAAATTTATATTATTTAAATTATTTAATGTATAAAATTATTTTAGACATTGTTATAATTTTATTACAATCTTTTAAATTCAACTATTTTTCCATCAATTTATTCTCTAAAATACCTATCTACTCCATATGCTGTACTAACCATCTTTTTCTTTTTTCCATGTGAAAAAAAAATAAAAAAAAGGTGATCAAAAGCAGGAAAATGAAATGGACACCAACAACTGTAAATGTACAAGATCATGTAATTGTACCAAATTTAGATAATAAAATAGAGTCTCCTAACCAATTTATTGAAGACTACATTTCCCACCTAACCACAATACCAATGGACTCATCAAAACCATTATGGGAACTTCACCTTCTCAACCTCAAAAGCTCATATGCAGAAGCTATTGGGATTTTCAAAATCCACCACTCAATTGGTGATGGAGCTTCATTAATGTCTCTTCTCTTGGCTTGTACTAGAAAAACTTCTGATCCTGAGGCCTTGCCTACCATTCCAATGCAAAAAAGAGCTTCTGCTTCTAATTCTAGTACTGCCTCTGCCTCTGCCTCTGCCTCTGCCTCATCAAATGGGCTTCAGAAATTGTTTTGGAACATTTTCATGATATTGAAATTGGTTTGGAATACTTTGGTGGATTTGATTTTATTTGTGTCTACAATTTTGTTCTTGAAAGATACAAAAACCCCTTTTAAAGGCGAATCTGGGGTTGATTTGAAGCCTAAGAGATTTGTGTATCGCTCAGTTAGCTTGGATGATATCAAGCTTGTCAAGAACAAAATGAACATGGTAAGTCCTTTTCTTTGTTGTTTTCCCTCCCTTTTTAATCAAATTGCTTGTGTTTTATGTTAAATATCAAAATTTGTAATTTCGTACTAATAATTTTACTTCACAACATCCTAACATATACATGGATAGAAAAAATTGATTCTTTTTAGGCTGAATACATAATTTAACTCTTGAAATTTAACCAAAACAAAAAAAAAAAAAAGTGTCACCCTAAACTTAAAATCGACCTTGTGACGTCCTCAATTTCTCTGTTTGTAATAATCTCATATTTCTCTTTTATATGCAAAATATTAATTTGATATGTGTATAATACAACTTTTGAAAAAATAATTTTTACATTTTTTAACTAACAAGTAAGTGTTTAATCAATTTAATTTTATTAGTTGAAGTGTTCAATAGGTTAAATAAAAGTTGAAGATGCCACAAAGTTTTTCGTAAAAGGTAGATCGGTGAATTTATATATTGAGTCATTTTTTTTAGGCCAAAAACATAAATGAGCCCCTTAACTTTGCAATTTTAATCTTGTGGCACCTTGAACTTCATGAATGACCGATGATGCACTTGAACTTGCAAATTTTGATAACATTGCACACATTTCCATACTAATAACAATAGCTTTTAAGATTCTTATGTAAAATATTGATTTGATGTGTAGTTAGCATAATTGACCTAATTTTGCAAGTTGAAGTGCTCAATAAAATAATTATGCAAGTTGAAGTGTTTAATAAATGAAGTTTTATAAGTTGAAGTTTTTAATAGGTTAAAGTAAAAGTTGAGAGTGCCGCAGGTTAAAGTAATAAAATTTAAGCGTGAATGTATGTATTCAGACATTCTTTTTATGGTACTACTTAGGAGTGTGCAAAACTACAGACTGAATGGAACCGAAAACCGAACCGGCCCATTTCGATTAGTTTCAGTCAGATGTTCAAGATAGGTTCGGTTAATCAGTTTATTCAGTTTGAATCGAATTTGTTGTTTGGTTTGAGGCAGTTGCATAGAAAATCATCGGTTGAGCTTAAAACCAAATCAAAATGGCAAAAATCCACAAAAATAGACCAAACCGACTGGTCGGTTTGGTTTAGATGCAAATTTGGATTCGATTTATTGTAAAAAAAGTTTAGTTTTATTTTATTGCTTCTCGGTTCGGTTTGAATCGAATTGACTGTTTGCTCAACCCAGTATTGCCAAATAATGGGGTATCTCATTCCCCTCATCACCCATAAAGGGTATGATTCTTTCTAATTGCTAGTCGACACCAGCTAGAAACAGCAAAAGTAAGGGTCTAGTACTTTTTTTTTTGGGAATCATTAAAGTTTTAGAACATTGAAATGTAACGGTGTTATCGAGTGGTTACCATAAAGCTTTATTAAAGAAATATTTTTTGAAACAAAAAAAAAAAAAAAATTTAGGGATTTAACTTTGATACTTCTTGTCTTTTAAAAGACTTTTAATCCACAAAAGAAGAATATATTTTTTCTAGAAAAGAGAATCCATTTGAAACACATTTAGAGGGATTTTAAAATCGATATGTTTGAAAGAAGAATTTCAGACAAAACCTAAATCATTTTTGTTACTAAATGCAGTCTTAAATTATTTATTTTGACTCCATTACTGTATTGATGCTTTTCTCTTTCCTGTTATATTGTGATTAATTTAGTAGACAATCAATGATGTTATACTGGGAATAACGCAAGCTGGTCTTTCAAGATACCTCAACCACCAATTTGGTAAGTTCTTTTATGTCTTTTTTTTTTTTTTTTAATTTTTAAACTGCCAGTATCCGGATCCCATTATCAGGGACAACCTAATCCGGCTTGGGATTAATTGTATATAATTTCTTCTTCGTTTTATAAGGAATCATTAGGTGATCAAATTAGGAAAAAGTTAGTGCTTTGACATTGAAACTACAAATAATTTTTTCATATCCTTGATTAAGCTTGAAACTTAAAACCTTATAATTTCTAAAGACAAATACCATTAAATCAAAACTTGATGACACATTAAAGCATAGTGAGCTAATGATCGGTACATATTATAACAATTAAACTTATTCGGTTTATATAAAGTGGGAATTTTTTGTTTTTTGGCAAGGTTCTCAAAAGGGTGAGGGTGTAGTATTGAGAAATGTGGTTAAGGCAAATGCGAGGGTTCATGGGGGTTGCCTAATACTTTAAGGCTTTATGAAGCAATGACTATCGAAGATTCTAGGGCTTTGGTTTTTTGAAGCTTGGATTCTCAAGCTGACTTAAGGATCTTGGTTCATGGTTATGTCATGCATGGTTATGTTTATGCATGCATGGATATGAATAAAACACTTATAGTAAGTCAGGTCTAAGATGCTAGGGCTATATTATTTGAAATTATGATAGTGCGGCCTGAGAGTTTAGGTTTTTAGCATTTGAAGGATCAAGTTCTTCATGTTTGAACGGTTCTTAATCCAAGGGATATGTGTGCTTGATCGAAGTGTGCATGCATGGTTATGAAAAAAATCAGTTTTCATGACATCTGTCACAGGACGATTTGTACAACCTAGGGTCAGGATATATGGCCATTAGATGAAAAATAATAAGGTGGTTTGGTTTAATAGGGTTCCATCACAGTAGAGTAGATATATGTCTAACCGAATGTGAAATAAGGAGTTTCGCTTACATCCAACAGTACAACGTACTCATTGCACCTTAGAAAGATTGAGGATTCGTGGCCAGTTGAGTATTTTTGCTACTTCTCAACAGCCTCAAGGAACAACAGTTGTTGAAGTGGAATTATTGAAAAATCATTAAGTTTACTTAGGTTTTTATACAATAGTGATGAATGTGAAATTAAGATTTAATTGAAGATAAAAAAGAAATTACTTTGAAAAATAATAATAAGATTATATATTTTCAACCTAAATAGTAGTACATTTAATTTTCTTATTTTAGAAAAAGAGGAATCGCCAGCTATGAAGCCCCTACCCGAGCACATAGTCCAATTTGCTAGAGGAATCATAATGCGCATTTGGTTGGGTTCATGGAAGAGCTTATTTAAGTCTAACTGTTGCTTTGAAGATGAGTCCCCAATTAAAATTTAATTTGGGGGAAAAATTTAAGAAAAATCCCCAATTAAATCCAATTTAATATTATCCCAATAAAAAAATGCACTAGTACTAGAAACAAATATAGGTTTAGCGACTAGGTTTTCGGTTTAAGCAGTTTGAAATTTGGTCAATATTAAAACTTGATTCACGAAAGCAATTTTGATGAACTGAAATCGGAAAAAGTGAAATGCATGGCAATTCCAGTTTTATGCATGAACATTAATTATAAATATTCATCCAAAGCTATAAAGAGAAAGTGAAATCAGATTTCAAAAAATATCTAGGGAGTATCAACACTAATTCCTTTTGAGGATTATAAGATGATCACACATCAACTAAAAACATAAAATAAAGAAATGAAAAAGCACAAGGAGGAGGAGAATGTTAGTTTTAGTTGATTTAGTGAATAATTCGAGACTCGAATGTCGAGTTTGCCTGTATAAATTATAATCAGTTCTTTCTGTAGTGAAACGTGGATATTTTAATATTTTTATAATATTTTGGAATTTATGTTTATCAAGTGATGATTAAAAGAAGAAAAAGAAGAGAGGATGAGATGAGTTTATAATATTCCGAAGTTTATACCTTTGCTTGTTGTCAATTGGGTAGAGTCTTGCCTTATTTCTTTAGTGGACAATATATTCCCAGTGCAAAGCTTTAGGTTGGAGAAACCAAAGAGGTTCTAAATCCAAAAACAAATTAAAGTTTAGCAACCAAGGAGGTCTAAATCAAAGGAATAGGAACCAAGGAGACCATAAAACAAAAGAAAAGAAAAATAGAAAAGATTGGAAAAAGTAAGTTCTGGAGTGTTCAACCTTGCTTACTTATAATGCATTAAGAGGCGGACTAGGGAGAAGAGAGAGAAAAGCTTTATGATAGCTCAACCAATTCTTTTCTAGTGTCTTTTAAGGTGAAGGAAGAGGAGTTCTATTCAAAGGAGAAGGTTGGAGGGTGAAAATCCTAATTTTCCGATGTGAGATTGTATAAAACAGCTGAAAGAGGGAAAAATCATACCAGATCGAACAATAGCCATTATGAGGCTTTAGGAAGTCTCCAAGGACCATTTTACGACACCAAAAGTGATCTGGCTAGTCAACGCAGGGTCTGAGCTGGTCGATTCGATTCAGCCTCTAGTTTGCACATTTATTCCGTGATTTGAACTTGTTTTAAGTCAAATTTTGGCATGCCATATGCCTTTGGAAAAATCTGGACGTCTAGCTTCTAACTCAACTTGAATCGCTCAAAAAGTTTCTTTGTAGCCCGAGTTAACGGTTTAATGCCCAATTCATATATGATTTGAATAGTTTTTTACCGAGTTGATTTGTAATAATTAACACATGCGGTCGAATACATAAATTTGCTTCTAAAGTATACGCATTTAATTGTGACATTTTTAAGTTTATAGGACCTATCGTGCTCCTGAAGTTTTATTTTTTTAATATCGAAATTGCTGTAGCCAATTTAATAAATTTGCATGGTCTTCAAATGCGCCTACATGGTAAATCCCTTATGACACATGGTACAAGTCAGCTTCCAACTCAGATTTTTTCTATTTCTTTAAAAATATTTTTTATCTTTTTTTGTTTATTTTTAGAACCAATCTCATCTCCGTTTCTTTTCTCTTTTCTTCTTCCTCATCTGGACCATATCTTTTTTTGTTTTTTTTGGGAATTATTTTCATTTATTGGTGACAACGATGAAGATTTTATATCATCAAAATAATCTTTCTCATCATTTGATGAAGATGAGTTCTCTCTTCAATGCTTGCCATTTTCTTTAGTAACAACTGATTTCCTTTCTTAGATGCCACTGCACACTCAATTACATTTTTAAGCTCTTGCTGATTTAGTGGTTTTACCATGTAAAAAATAAAGCTCTGCAAATCCAGTTCGGAAATTCAACCTATAATGTGTCAAAAGTTAGGTTATAAGTTATAAACCATCAGAAAAGTAGGAACAGGTGCAGCATCAATAGCATTTTGGGGCTGAATGAAGTGTTGTGACAACAATAGCAGTAGCAACCGAAATGAATAGAACAAGCCCATGTTACGAAATTTCTGTATTTTGGTTTTTGAGCAAAATTATCTCTTGATCTTATTTTTGTAGATATTCATCTTGTGTTTAATAAAATGTCAAAGAGAGAGATTTTATTTTGTTTGATGCTAGAGATGAAGAGACGGTAGAAGAAGTTTATTTTTGGAAACATTTCAAGGTAGTTACTTTCCTTTGAGCGCGTGATGCTCACGCGTGCTTTGCCAACAGGCAAGGTGCAAGTTTGATATTAAAAGCATATAATTTTAGGGAGTATAATAGGTCTATGTAAACTTAAAGATGCTAGAAAATTAAATGCGTAAATATCATGGACAAATTTGTGTGTTGGACCATATATCTAATGTGTTGGACACATATATCTAATTGGCGATAAAGGGTATGAAACTCATTTGCTCTTTTTCTCAAATAAAATGATATTTTTCTCAAATAAAGGATATTTCTCTTATTTTCATTTAATACTTTTACCTTTCTTAAAAGGTTAAAAAATATATGTATTATTTATCATGTGCGAGGTCTATTGAAAACCACTCTAATATTATTAACATAGAAATAATTATTATTATTTAAAATTTTGACTTTATTTTATTGAAATTATAATATAATATTTATTTTAAATAATTTAGTAAAATATTATTACAAAGAATTTTAAATATTTTTTTCCCATTTTAAGCAAATTTTACTAATTGCAATTTATTTTAAATAATAATTTTTTAATGACTATTAATATTAACTTATTATATATAGGGTTTGAACTATGGTTTGATATATAATATATGGGTGAACTATGTTGGATATATATATATTATTGATATATATATATTTCTTGCTAGAATACTAAAAATTTGTTGCCACATTTAAATTTGCCGCCTATTTATGCCTGCTTAAAATTTTATAATCGACGTGAAGCAATTCCTATTGTTAATTACAAAATTTCACTGGCCTAAATTTTCTTTTGTACCATCCATGCATGCCTCTGAAGATTTTTTTTTTTTTTTTTTTTTTTTTTTTTTTTTTTTTTTTTTTGAAGTTCTCTCTTAGTAGTCGTTAATCTATCATGTTAGAATAACAAAGCATTAAGCAAAAATAGTAAAATTTTTTTTTTTTTTTTTTTTTTTTTTTTTTTTTTTTTTTTTTTGAAGTTCGTCTCTAGTTAGTCGTTAATCTATCATTAGAATAACAAAGGATTAGCAATATAAAAATATCCAACGACTAAAATCAGTTTGTAATCAGACATTAAATTGTGAAATATGTGCGAATTTATGGTGCGTGTTTTACCAATGGATTCAAATCCATCCCTAGAAGATGTTAGGTGCCGACATTTGGCGCCTTTACTTACTAATGGAATTCAAATCCATCATTAAATTCCTCAATAAAATTATGTAATTTTTTTAATTTTAAAACTAAATTTTATGTTGCTGTCCGATCGCTAAATGTTGAAACCTTATTGTAACGCTGTATATTAAAAGTTTGATTTTGTACACGTTAAAACCCAATTACATGATGAAATAATGTAAGTTCATATGATAAGCAGGTAAGAATGAGAAAGATGGGGATCGAAAGCACAAGAAAATTAGTCTTCAAAAGAGCATCCGTCTTAGAGCAACTGTTCTTGTTAATCTAAGACCAGTTGTAGGCATCCAGGTGATTTTATTTTTCTTTCTCCCTTTTTATTTTCAATTAGGTTCCATTTAATTCTAATTACAGAGCCGCAGTTTTTTAATCTTTAGTTAATGTTGAGTAAATGAACAGACATTGGCTGAGTTAATGGGTAAGGAGTCAAAAGGGAAATGGGGATGGGGCAATTCTATAGGATACATTATGGTGCCCTTTACAATTGCCTTACAAGATGATCCTTTAGACTATATTCGAAAGGCTAAAGCTACAATTGATAGAAAGAAACTCTCATTGGAAGCTATCTTCACATTTCAAATTGCCAAGCTTGTGATCATGACCTTCGGACATAAGGTACTAACATTTTCCAATTATTTGATTCATTTCAATAAAGAAAACAAGATGATATGATAATGTATGGGATTAAGATGGGTAATTGCAGGTAGCAGGTGCAATAGCGCACAGATTTCTTTCCAACACAACGCTGGCATTTTCCAATGTGGTTGGTCCGCTAGAAGATATTAGCTTTTATGGTCATCCAATTGATTTCCTTGCACCCAGTGTTTACGGCCATCCTCATGTACGTATCCCTTTCACCAATTATCTATCCGTCTATAAATGTATTGGAAAAACAACATTGCAATCGTTAAAAATGCCCTTCCTAAATTTATAAATTGAAAAAATATCATTAAGGATTTTAATTTTAGTTATTAAAAAATAATAATAATTAATTTGATTGTTTATATTAATTTCGTATTTAAATATAAATTTTATTGGATAAATCAAGAAATTATATTAAATTTAGTAAAAATATAATATTTTTAAAATTTTAATTTTATTGGTTGTATTAATTTTTTTTAAAATCTAAATTCTATTGGATAAAATAAAAAATTATTTTATATGCTAAATAGTAAGAAGAAACATATATGAAAAAACAAAGAAAATTTTAGTTACACTTTTAAAAATGTCATTTTTCTGGGTCTGATTCCGAATTATTTTCATATGCTGCAACAATTGTCGTAGCAACCAAACACAAATGCAAAGAGAGAAGGATGAAAAAAAAAAAAAAACAAATTTAATCTTTTAGACCAATCTAGCCCCTGTTAAAATGGTTAGATTTAATTTAAAAAAAAAAAAAACAAATTTAATCTTTTAGACCAATCTAGCCCCTGTTAAAATGGTTAGATTTAATTTTTTAAGCCCTTTTAAAATTTTGCAAATTAATAAATTAATTCAATTGAACATGATTGACATTTCTCCCTTCTTAGTTTAAAATTTTTAGTAATAAACTAATTATTGAAAATAGTATCAAACTTTTTCAACATTTCTAAATAGAATTTTAAAATCCATAAAAGCATAATTTCTTCTAACATAGTAAATTTATACAACTTGTATTATAACTTTATTTTGTTCAAAATGAGAAATATATGGAATTCATTTGCATAGCCTGGTAATAAAAGTCAATTTAAAATTTCAAATTAATATATATTTATGAACTCAAAATCACCAATTAAGTTAAAAAAAGATAAAATATATTTCATATGTCGTTTTCTTCTGTTTCATATTTAATTAATTTTTTAATAAATTATATAGCCCAACCCTAACTATGGTCTTAATGCCTATAATATAGTGAAGAATCGGTGGGTAAATTGACTAAAAATGTTAAATTTGATCTTTTAATCATTTTAAACAAGTTTATGAGCTAAATTGATCCAAAATGTTAAATATAATCTTTTTAATCATTCTAAACATGTTTAAGAGGTTGAATTGGCCGAAAAAGGTCAAATTTGATCTTTTTTTTTTTTTTTTATCTCACTAAACAAGTTCAGAGGCTAAATTACCTTTACTCCTTATATTTTTTCGATTATTATAATTATCATTGTCATTTTTCTTCTTCTTAACAACAGGCATTGACCATTCATTTCCAAAGCTATTCCAATAAAATGACCATTGTTATCGCAGTTGATCCAGATGTGATTTCAAACCCTCACAAGCTTTGCGACCATCTTGAGGAATCTCTAAATATTATCAAGGATGTTCTTCTAGATAAAGGACATGATGCTGCATAATTTTCCCTCAACATTTTTTTTTCCAACTTCAATATAATGTATATCAACTTTTGACCAACTTAATTTAGTTGTCTTATGCTTTTCACGACATAAAAAGTTGTTAATTATATTTTTCATGTACTAAGTATGCCAACTCTAAATCCCAATTAGGAACCTTAATTCTCAAATTAGAAATTTCTTCATGAATGGGATAGCGAATCCTAACATAATACTTAACTAGGAGTATGAACCAAAGGTATCTAGGTGAAAGAAGGAATACCACAAAGATTAATTATCTTTGATAATTTCCTAAGCAATTCAATGAAGAATCAAAGAAAATTCTTCTCTCTTGAATTTGATTGCTTAATACACATAAATTGAAATTTCTATATATCCTTTACAATACTAAAAATTAAGTATGTATAACCTGGGAAACCCTAAAAACTAAATAAAATATAAAATCAAATTTAATTAAGTCCAATTATACTAATTCAAACATAAAGCTATCCTATTTAAATAAGTTCAATTATACTAATTCAAATATAAAACCAAGTAAAAGACTTAATGCCCACATGTTTGGATCATCTTAATTAACATTGGATCTTCTTTCAAGTCCATCTGTTCACTAGGGAAATTGTAGATCCTCATTATCACCATGGGCTTGTCTTGACACATCTGTAGATGCTCAAATTTTGCTCATAATGGCTTAGTGATGATAAACTGTTTTTAACATAAGTTTGGATCATGATTCCTGATCGTTTCGGTTTTTGGACCAATGGTCTGTGGCTGAGATAATACACGTGTTTAACCATTTTTACTTTTTCGAGTTACTGGGCATTTCGCGATAAAACTGGGTTCGAGAAGCGCTTCGGGCCTGCCCAACGCACTTTTTAGTGCATCGTCTCATTTTGCGTGCCACCTGGTTCGTCTCAGCAAAAATGGGCCAGCCTGATTTTGAGGCCCACCAGTGGCGTTTTGCCACATAAGCCCTAAAATAGGGTAACACATTCTCATTTGCCTATAAATAGGGCATTAGGAATTGTGTAAAGGGGAGGACTTTTTTCAAAACTCAACCAAGAATCAAAGCAAAACTTGTGTTTTCTCTTTGATCTAGGTTGTCATTCATCCATCTTTTGATCATAAAATCCTTAAGTATTCATTGAAAAGTCCATAAACACGTTCATTTAGTCTTAAACTCGGATTTGTGGATCAAAAACTTAATTTTTGGGTTTCTTTTATCCATTCTCACATAAAATCTTTGAAAATCTTCAAAAAGTAGTTTCTGAGAGCTATTATTAATTCTCTTTCCTTTTTCTTCCTCTTTATTTTGGTGATAAATCACTAGAATTCCGAGATCAACCAAAAAGAGGAAGTCTGTATTGAAGTGGCATGCTGAGAACCACAGTTGCGTGCGCCACTACGTGTGGCGTGTTGGCTCAAGGGTCAAATATTAATCTCAAGATTTTGATGATTAAAACAAAACAAATAAATTTAAATTATATTATTTGCGCTAATAATTTTTTATGCAGATTACATATGGAAAGTAATAAATGACAAGGCAAGTCCTACAAATTCAAGGATTGTTGCAGATTACATATGGAAAGTAATAAATGACAAGGCAAGTCCTTACCAAGTCCTACAAATTCAAGGATTGTGAAGACATTTGAAGACCTAGTGGTTAGACTTTTAGGATTCATTGTAGGATAGAGAGAACATCCAATTATAAGCACAAAAATTAATTTATTCTCACTTTATCAAAAAGGTTTTTCGAAACTATCTCTTTAAAAATCAAAAACTTTTTCTTTCGTTTCTTGTTTTATAAAAATTTTTTTTTAGAAAAAGTTTACTTTAATTTTTCGAATTTTCTTAAAGTTCGAAATATTCAAATTATCTAAATTAAAGAGACTTTGTCTCTAGCAATGTTGGTAATAAGAATAAATCGAATAAAGATCTTATGCACATCATTTTCGGAAACAAAACTTTTTTGAACATCCAAAAATCTTGATTTTAATTTTTTACATAAACGAAGGAAGATTGTATTTTAATTCGTTTTGGTAAATAAATCTTTCGAAAAAGATTTTTCAAATATTTACTTTCGAAAATTTTTGTTTTTAAAGGAAATAAAGATTGTCTCTCATTTACTTACCAAAAAGATAGAATGTTGACTTAAAAGTTTTGGTAACAAAGATTTCCATATCTTCTAAATAAGGAAAGTCAATATTCTGATTTGAAAAAGGGATATTCACTTTCTAATGATTTGAAAAGGGATATTCACTTTCTAAAAACAAGAAGTCACAACCCTCTCTATAAAAAGACTTTTTCGTTTTTGAAAGCGTGGAGAAAGGAGTTTTTCGTTTTAAGAGTATTAGTCCGTTGATCATATTCTTTATCTCTCAAAAGTTTACTCTTCTACCCCCTTATTTTCTTTTTCATCTTATACTTTACGGTTTATCTTTTTAAAGAGAAAAAGAATTTCTATAACAACTTCTTTGAAAAATAGGTTCTGATTTCTAAAACGATTTTCTAATCTTAAAAACTGTTTTTCCTATGCTTATTATTGCATTTCTTGATCTGTCTATTTAGATTCTGTAATCTTTAGTAAGACAGGTTTTCTTTTGATAAACTTTTTGTAAAATACTTAGATTGAGAGCTATGTGAAATTAGGTTATCAAGCGACCCTTCTCCGTGAGAGAGATCTAATAATGTCTTGAACTGAGTTTCTGTACTTTGCCAAAAACAGAAAGAGTTGAGGTTAACTAGAACCTTTGGAAAATCTAATGGGACAAAGGGTAGATCAAGGAGTTGATCTATTGCCTTGTACTATTGGTTTGTCTCTTACCCGTGAAAAGAGATAACATAGTTGAGGATCTCAAAATGAGTCTTGGGGAGTGGATGTAGGCGAGTTAGTACCGAACCACTATAAATCACTGTGTTGATCTTGTTATTTTTTGAAGTTCTGCTTGATACTATTTTAATCACACTTCTTTTTATGTTTTAGAAATGTTAAACTTGTTAATGGTTTTTTAATGTTCTAAATCTGAAATAAACTTTATCATTTCTGAACATTAGAACTCTGGACTTCTGCTAAGTGAATATACCAAGTTCTAAACTGTTCTTCCATTTTTAGTATATTTCACTGTTTGGGTTTCTAATCAGTTTTCTAATTTCTAATCAGTTTTCTACACTTGATTAAAGCTTTGTGAAGCATTTTAGATTTCAATAACTGTCTCTCGCACAGTCTTTCATGTTTTTCTAAACTTTATGTGGAAGTTCTAATCAAAATAGCTTTCCATCATAAAACAGTTTTGATATTAAATAAGACATTGTGAAAAAGTTCTAATTGATAGCTGTACTTTGCAAAGTCTTTCTATTTTTCTCTGAATAGAACATTGTGAGGTAGTTCTAATTAGTAACTTATTATCACAAGTTCATTACTTTTCTGCTGCAGATAGAATTCTGAGTTTTGTTTTAAAAGTCAAATTTTTATTTTTAGAAAACTCAATTCACCGGGTTGTGCCATACATAAATGGGACCCATAATCTGGTATCAAAGCCTTGGCTGTTGACTTACCCAAGCTTAACAGCTTAAGAGAAAGGATCCTATGGTAGCCCCATTTCCTCTTATATCTTTAAAAGGTCAATCTGCTTTTAGACCACCTCCGCTCAATGGTTCTAATTACTCTTACTGGAAAATCAGAATGGAAAACTTTATAAAATCAGTTGATATAAATTGTTGGAGGAACATTATTACTGGTGAGGAATGTTATTACTGGTTCTTGTATTCCCATGAAAATTATAGAAAATGAGAGTACTAGAAAAACAGAAGAAGAATATACAGATGTTGATTGGAATGATATTGCTATAAGCTATCAATATTCTTCATTGTGCTTTAGACGCAATAGAATACAACAAAGTGTCTAGATGTAAATCTGCGACAGAAGTTTAGGAAAAACTTAAAGTTACCTATGAGGGTACAGATAGAGTAAAGGAATCCAGAAAGGGTACAGATAAAGTGAAAGAATCCAGAATAAATATCCTTTGGAGAGGATATGAAATGTTTAGTATGAGGGAAGGAGAAACTATTCCAAAGTTAAATTCTAGATTTACTAATATAGTTAATCCTTTGAGAACTCTCGGAAAGGAAATTTCAGAAGATGCGCTTGTTAAGAAAATCTTAGAATTCTACCTAAAAAATGGGATTTTATAGGAACTGTTATGAATTACAAAGAGACTCCCGTTACTTATGATTACCTTATAGGAGTTATTGTTTCAGAAGAAATGAAATTTTCTCTGAATGTGGAAGATAAGAAAAAGAAGGGTCCGACTTTGAAAGTAGTTTCTAGTGAAGAAAGTTCTTCTGATCTTAATAGTGATGATTTAGCACTTGTTGCTAAAAGATTTAAAAAGTTTTATAAAAAGAGTGGAAGGCCACAGAAAAAGTTTATCAAAAAGAACTTTCCGCCTAAAAATAGCAACTTACCTAAGAAAGAACATTCTGAAGTGGTTTGTTATGAATGCAACAAACCCGGACATATCAAACCCAATTGTCCTAAATTGAAAAAGAAGTCAAAGAAATAGTCAAAGAAATAGAAGCTGAAGCAGACATTCGTAGCTGCTTGGAGTGATTCAGATGATTCTAATTCTAAAAGCCAAAGTTCCAAGAAAAAACAGCCAATATTTATTTGATGGCTACTATTAATTTTGACTCTAAGGAAATCAGCATTTTGATTTCAACACAGAAAGTTGAAAACAATGAAACAGATGCAATGGTCCAAAAGCATAAAAAAAGCAATGTAAGTATTTTTTAACCTGAATCAAAAAATGATATTTTAGATACTTATAATAACCTTTGCAATGAATTTGAAAAACTTGTTAGAAAGCATAAAGTTCTAAAGAAAGATTTCAGAAAATTAAAAAAAACTGGAATGTTAATAATTTGAATGCCTTTTTATCAGGAAGTTACATTTAAGATCTTATCATAGAAATCAAAGATCTTAAAGGATTGTAATAATAGAATTTTTCTGAAATCTGAAACATCTGAAGAAAAATGTAAAAATTTTGAATTGAAAATGAAATATTTAAACTGAAATTAGAATTCTAAAATCAATTTAGAATCGTTTTCTAAAGAAAAGACAAGT